AAAAAAAAAGAAGAGAGGGCTGGAGCAACAGCAACTCCAATGTTATTTCTGGCTGACTGGGATCTGCTGCCCTGAATGTGATGCTGGCAGAGAAGAAGAGCTGGGCTGGCTCAGTGGGCCCCTGGCCTCTCTGGAGACTCGCTGCCCGAGACCCACCTGAAGACTGCATGAGGTAGACGCGGATGGCATTGGCAGCTGCACCACACAGGAACACGCAGGATAGCCCCAGGCAGAGGTCAGTCAAACTGGCACTACTGTCCGTGGAGGGGCTGGCATAGATGACATCGATGACCTTCCCCAGGAAGAAAGGGGCAGACATGGTGACAACACTGGACACGGCCAGAAACCCAACAGCGGCTGGAAGACAGAAGGCGGCTTAGTGGGGCAGCTGCTTGGGCTCCTTCTCAACTTCCAGACTGCAGGTCGACCCCAGGGGCATGCCACACACCCTGAGAGTCAGCAGGGCATCCCGGATACCATCCTGGCCTCTCCCCACCCTGGCACTCTGTTGCAGCTGTGGACACCTGCTTCTCCCTTGGCATCCTCTCTCCCTTAGCTACAGGACAGACTCCAGGTCAGGCTGGACTCTGTCTAGTATTGCAGACCTCTGAATGACCTTTGGGAAGCAGTCTCTGGACCTGTTACACATCACTGCTGCTGGGGAATCAAGCACTGGGGCCTCAGCACGTGTGGAAATGAATTAGGACACGCGGGTTCGTGTCCCTGAAGACAGACTAGGGGAGAGTCCTGTGGGAAGAGGAGGTACTACAGAATCGAATCAGGAGCACACAACACAGGCATCTGCACCTGTGGGAGGGCAGCAGTGAAGTCTGAACCAGAGCTTGCCACTGTGGCTGTGGCATTGGCAAAGGGCACGTGGCGTGCCAGCCGAGCCATGAGCCAAGCCGTGGAGCTAGCCCCTCCCACTGCTGAGAATGCAACTGGCACGATCTTGATGGAGAGCAGCCTGGCCCGGAGTCCCTCAGACTGAGAACGAACAATGCCTTTGATCCAACAAGGCCAACTCTGAAAAATTCCTGCAGACACACTTCCACAGGCAGTCAAAACAGACTCAGCTGGGTGCCGTGTACCCACTGAAATCACAGACACTCAGGAGGCTGAGGCAGGAGGATCAAAAACTTGAGGCCAGCCTCAGTAACTGAGTGAGGCCCTAGACTGTGTCTCAAAACAAAAAATAAAAAGGGCTGTGATGAGGCTCAAAGTTTAAGCGCCCCGGGTTCAATCCCCAGCACCAAAAAAAAAAAAAAAAGAAGATGATGATTCAAGAGTGTTCACTAAGGCACTGCTCATACCAACAAAAAAACATTCTACTCTTCTGTTGGTGGGGAACAAATGAGATCTACTTTGCAGCATTGATTTTACAAATGCTGTGTAGTCGTTAAGAGGACAAGGTAACCTCACAGGCATGGAAATGGAACCTCCACCAGGATCACTATTGGTTAAAACAAATTCAGGACACAAATGCCCACGCGTGTGCCGTCCTTCTCCCCACACTTCTTATTGGTGCCTTACAGTTGCACATTTGTGTGGTCTTTCACTTTTTGGTTTTCCAAGTTTACATGTGTGCAGGGCACCTGCGCAAGAGTGATATCTAACAGCCCCCCAGGTTCCGTCCAGGAGCAGCTCTAGGCAGGTAGGTGCAGCATGGCTTCCCATTTGCTGAGTGCCTCTGGTTTGGCGCTCAGTGCACACGTCACACTTAAGGAACCCACTAAGAACCACTGGTCCCCGCTAGGCTCAAGGTGGACAGAGCCCTGTGAAGAGGAGCCCCAGCACTAGGCGGACAGACGGTGCTGGCTGGTGGCTGGCACACACAGTCACAGGCTTAAGGAGAGCAAAGTGTAGGCCTCACAGCAGCTGGTGTGCCCAAGAGCTCTGGGAGCGCAAGCCTGGGAGTGCAAGCCCGAGAGCTCCGGGAGTGGAAGCCCAAGAGCTCCAGGAGTGCAAGCCTCCCCTCCCCAGGCTCTGCCGCCCCACTACTGCTTCCTCCTCTCCTCTTGGGTCTCCGTCTGCCACTGGCTGGCCATCTAAGTGTGCCTGACTTGCTCTGCGTCCACCAGGACAGGAGTGATTTTGGCCTGCCCTGCACCCTGCTCTTCCCCACCTCTGCAGGGGTGGGCACAGAGTGAAAGTTCTACACCTGTCGAATGAATGAGCGAACTGACCTTTGGCAAAGGTGGCAGCAAAGGCTCATCAGCCCAAAGTCCTCCTGCACCCCACCAAGAACGTGAGGCCTGGTTTAAAAACCAGTGTGTCTCTCTGGCTAACATGACACTGGCCAAGGCCGGCTCACCTTGATGTAAGGCCAGGTCTCGTTTCAAAGCACCCTGCGCCTGGCCACAGTGCCCCAAGGGACTGCAAGTACTGAGAGCTCCCCGCTGGGAAGAGCCGTCCCAGGCCCAGGACCAGCATAGAACCCCCCCCCCCAGAAGTACAGCACATGTGTAGTACCACAAAGGTCCGTCTCCCCCACTGCACTGGTTTCTCACTCCAGTGAATGGAGCGCCCTGGTGTCTGACTCTGAGGTCTCACACCATCAAGGGACTCAACACAGAGGAAGGAAAGGCTAGATTCAAGCCCCCTGCAGGGTCACACACCCTCAGGTTTGCTTTTCATTCATCTGAACAGATATCTTAAGGGTGAGTGTGTGTTCGGTTGGCGATCGGGTCTCACTATGCTGCCCAGGCTGGTCTTGAACTCCTGGGCTCACATGATCCTCCCACCTCAGCCTCCCAAGTGGCCAGGATCACAGAAGCATGCCACACACCCTGCTTAAAATACACAGCAGCATGTGTTACTGCCATGTGCCTCTTTCTATCACAAGTCAAATGTAGGTAAAGTGAAGATTTCTCCAGCTTTGGGTTGACCGTATCCCTGTGGTCATGGCCTCGCTGTGTGTCACTGTCTCTGACATTGACAGTCAATCTAACTTGCATCTCAGACCCTTGTGAAACTTGTCCCCACCCTTCCTCCAGGACTAAGCCTCTCCCTCGGCCCATCCATCTCTGCCTGACAGGGCTCCAGCCTCTTCGGCTGCATCTCCTGGTACCTTCAGCGCTGCTCTCTCCCCTCCTTCCCTGGCATGGCATTCAGAAACAAGGGAAATACCCTTCGGAAGAGAGGGGAGCAAGTGCAGACTCAGGCTGCTGGGGCAGACACTGGGCTCTCAGAAGAACAGGGCTTGGGGCCAAGCAGCCAGAGGGTGGAATGAGGCAGGGCTGGCAGGATCCCACGTCTGGCTGAGCCGCCTGACCCTGCACAGGCCGCTCAATTCCCCTGTGCCTCAGTTTCTATTTTGCGAATGGCAGTACAAATTACACCTCCCCAAGGAGCTGCTGTGAGGAACAGACTGGACGTGTCTGGAGAGCCTGTGGTCCAGGGCCAGTCCCAGCAAACAAAACCGGCTGTCACCTTTGGTACCATCAGTGCAGGAATGGTCCCACCTGGCCTGAGCCACAGGGGAAGGCAGCTGGGGAGGGAGCAGCTTTGGTTTTCAGGCTGTTGGGAGACATGCTGTGGAGGGGGTGGTATGGAGGAGCACAGGAGGGGAGGCCAGGGGCCCTGCATGCAGGGAGGGAGGGGAAGGCACAAGGGGCCAGCAGAAGGGCAGAGGGCTCAGCAGACTCCACAGGTTCCTGGAGGGAGTTGCAGATGAGTCCCCGAGCCCCAGGTGCGCCTGCTGCCTCTGCCCACACTGGCTCCTGCTCATAGAGGCCAGACCTGCCCCACCAAGAGCGAGGGGGCCACCCAGCAGACCATGGGAGCCACCCATGTAATGCAATTTTCTAGTTGCCACATTAAGGAAAGGAATAGGGCACCAGACGCGGTGATGCACACCTGTGATCCCAGTGGCTCAGGAGGCTGAGGCAGGAGGACTGTAAGTTCAAAGCCAGCCTCAGTGACTTAATGAGGCCCTAAGCAACTTATTGAAACGCTGTCTCAAAATAAAAAGGACTAGGGACATGGCTCAGTGGTAGGCACCCCTTGATTCAATTCCCAGTACCCCCCACATCAAAAAAGAAAAGAAATAAAGCTAGGGCCAAGGCTCTGGGTTCTAACCCCAGTACCATAAAAATAATAATGCTGGGCACAGTGGCGCACGCCTGGGATCCCAGCAGCTCAAGAGGCTGAGGCAGGAGGATCGCAAGTTCAAAGAGAGCCTTAGCAACGACGAGGTGCTAAGCAACTCAGTGAGACCCTGTCTCTAAATAAAATTTTAAAAAGGGGGCTAGGGATGTGGCTCAGTGGTTGACCGCCCCTGAGTTCAATTCCCAGTACCAAAATAATAATAACAATAACAATAATAATAATAATGTTTAAAAATAGATAATATTAAATAACATTTTATTTGACCCAATGTATCTAAACCATTATTTGCATGTAACTGACGTTTTACGATTCTCTATCCTTTCAGACCTGACGGTATTGACACCATGCTCAACGCCAGCCACATACCACACAGCTCTGTTGTGGAAGGCCAGCATTATCTCTGAAACAGGTTTCTGTGGCACTGGAGGGTGTCCCATGTGGAGGGTTCACCCTCCCTGTCCTTGAGCCCCATCTGGTGTGGATCCTGCCCTGTCGAGCTCTAGGAAGCAGCACCCTGAGCACTCCCTGGCCTCCCCTCCATAGTGGCATGGCCACTGTGTTCCCTGTGCTTGCTGTAGGGGCAGCTCAGCCAGTGGCCCCCTCTCACATCACCCAGCCCCTTGGTAATTCAGGGAGCAGTACCCCTGAGCTCTCCACCCAGGTACCAGCTGAACATGAAGGGTAGGTAGTGTCCACAATCTAACCACAGAGCCACCAGGACTGTGTCCCCACACACCCCCAGGGAGATGGGCTGCCTCCCAGGGCTGAGGCCACACAAGAAGACTCTGGGCTGGAAGCACCTCCTGGCAGCACAGCATCCTGAGGCCCAGGCTCACTGGAGGCTGAGCCCGGCCTGCCTATCTGTGGGTCATGCAGGAGGCCTGAAGAAACACCTCCTATCTGGAAGCACACATCTGCTCCTCCTGGGCTCCACGCCCCCTGGGGCTCCTTGTGGTCAAAATGATAAGAAGAAGAGTTATCAGTGCAAAAGGCTCTGGCACTTCTCTGCCCAGGGAAAGAGACAGCAGCATATAGAGCAAGTCAGAGGACAGTAGTTCCCCTGAGGAGGAGTGGAGACAGCTAATCGTGCCTAGCAGGCATCTGCAAGCATGTCTGAAGGCAGGCTCTGGTGTTCCAGCTCCTGGCACAAACCGATGACATCAAACAGAACCACACAGTTCAGGAGCACACTGAGCAAACTGCTAAGACATGGAGAAGGGTTTTTACTCAAATATAAACCTACTTTTGGGGGGTGTGTTTGGTGCTGGGATGGAGCCCAGGGCCTTGAAGGAGCTAGGCAAGTAAGTACTCTGCTACTGAGCTTCAGCCCTAGCTAAACCTACATTTTTGGATAGGGATTTTCCCACTAAAATTAACAAATTAACACTGGAATTCCTTCTTGTCACCTCAGCTGTTGTGGCATCTCAACTTGAAGACATACAACTGCTCCATACCCGTAGCACTCGGAGACAGCCAACACCTGGATGTTCTTAGGATAATCAGCTACCAATTAATAGTGATCCCCACTAACCCAAACACCAACCCCAGATGGCCCTGATAAGCTATCTATGACAACTTCTGAGGAGACCCTATGGCCTAAGGAGGGCTTTTCATCAATTTCCTCAGGACATAAAATATGCCCTATCTGTTAAAAAAAAATTGGTGTACTGACCACAGGTTTATTCCTGAAATCACACATTTAACATTCCAACAAGGCAGACCACAACAGCTCCCACCAGGAGGGACAGTCCTTGGTTGTCTAAGGCACTCTTTACAATATGCTAGCATAGGACAGGTGGGGACTGTGGGAGTGACAGGAGCGGTCACAGGACAGGCAGGGCTGGCCCCGGTGATCCCAGCACACTTGGAAACCCTGACATCTGATGATTCAGAAATAGAGCAAAACTGGATGTCTCCACCAAGCCCCAAGCCACTTACCGGAGCACCGGGCACACTGTGGGACCCTTGTGTCTCTGATACCCCATGGGGGCCTGGGTCATTTGGTCCTTTATGTAAGGTACTTCCCCTCAGCCTCACACATTAAGAGCTGGACACTGGAAGATGGACCAGCCCCAGTCTGTGAGACGGCTCAGCCCAGGGAGACCTCTTTTCTCAATACTCTTCTAAAAGAGGAAAAGGACCTTTTCCATCAAAATCTACAACAATCAACTGAACTGTGAAATGACTCTCTTTATACCTAAGCACCCCAAGAATCTCCTAGACTCCCAAGTGGGTGGCAGATGAGAGGTGGCACCTGCCTGCTGCCCTCTGGTGCAAATCTGACCTGAACCCAAACTCTGCCCTCAGGAGGGCACTTTCCATGGCAAGGAACTGCCAGCAAGGAATTCTGTGGCAGGAACAACCTCACAGGCCCTTCTCTCCAACCATAAAGATGTCCTCCTTTGTCTCTTTCCACTGAGTTAGAAGCCCAGCAGGGGAAGGGCCCTCCATCTCTGCCTGCTAGCTATGTAGACATCCCTCCAATGGTTAAGACAAGCAGTGGCCTAGCAGTAACCCCAGCCATTCCAGAGGCTGAGGAAGGAGGGAAGCTGAGGAAGGAGGACAGAAGTTTAATGCCAGCCTGAGCAACGTGGTGACACCCTATCTCAAAGTAAAAATAAAAAGGGCTGGGATGTATTTTAGCAGCAGAGCGCCTCTGGGTTCAATCCTCACTACCATAAATAATAAATTAAATGTTCTCTATTTGTATGTTGTTTCTAAAATCATTCATTTTGATTTCTTTTTAAAAAAACCACTCGATTACAATTCTATGGAATAAGGTCCAGTTTCTTTGCCAGGGCAACCTGGGAGTCCTGGCCAGGTGGTCACCGATCACCACTCAGGGTAATCAGGAGGTGCGTCGTCGAGGTTCGCACAACTTTGTATCACCTGATGAAAGACTGCTGAGTGCTTGATTAAAGAGCCCAGTCCCGGTCACCTTTTTAAAAATGGTTCAAATGCTGGTGCAAAGTAGGTATATTTTTGGCAGAAATAATTTTTTAAAAAGAGGGAAACTCCAATTCATTCAGAGAATGTCCCAAAGGAGATGCTCCCACGAAGCCGGTGGCTGGAAGCGCCAGCCCATGGAGAGCCCAGGGCAAGCCCTACAAGAGGCGCGGCCACCTGCAGGTCTCCACCGCCCCGACGGCGTCCAGGCGAGCCAGGCCACTCCGCGCGCAGCGGCCCCTCGCGGCACCGCTCCCTACCTGCCAGCCTCCCGCGCTCGGGGCGCACCAGCCCCAGCAGCTTCCGGGCT